CCAGCCAGAGTACTAGGAAGTTGTCGAGGAGAACCACTGCGGGATTAGAAACTATTGGATGATAAGTTCTTAAAGGAGTGTTCATTTTCAGGTGACTGCCATCCCACAAAGATGAAAGAATTTCATATATATATATATATTTATATTTTTTAACTAAATTTACTTGAAATTAAAAAAAAAACTTGAAAGTCAATATATTTTCATTTGGTGGATTTAAAAATTTCTTACAAAAACAAATTTGCTTCAAAAAAAATTCTGAACATATTTTCTAACTATTTAAAAAAAATCTAAATAAAAAATAAAAATGATCTCAAGATGTTCATCGAAATAGATCTGAAACTTCCAAAGCAAATCAATGTTGACAGAAATAATAATAATAATAATAATAAATGTTGACAGAAAATAAAGTCGTTTTCAATGGAATAAGAATACAAAAAATATAGTGATAAGACCAACCAATCGTTTGGCCCAAGATACCGAATGGTTATTAGCTCTTCAAGGATAGGATGTAATGGCCATGATTTGGAAGCAATGAATTCAATGATGCCATAAGAATTTTGACTACTAAAATTAGCAATCAACTTCAACTATTGGACTCTTTCCACAAACCTTTAGGCAGACTTTTTTCTAAATAAACGTTTTAAATAAGGAGTGAGCACTGAGATATCTCATGTCCTTATTTTAATGTTTGTAATGGTGATTTTAGGGCCATCGAAGGCTCACCTCAGAGGGAAATTATTAGGTGCGGACGCCGCACTTAAAGATGCGTTCGGATACTGCGTATTCTATGCATAAGCTATGCCTACGTTATTCTTATTTAATGAGTATACACTGCGTATTGCAGTAAATAAGCAGCAAATATTTAGTTGTGAGGATTTGTTGCTTATTTGATGTGTATCTACAAATACGCATAGTGTAAGTAGAACATACGCATAGTGTAAGCAGAGCGTATGCAGAACGTACGCAGTGCATCAATAATCTAGACGGATCTCTAGGTGCGGTGTCCGCACCTAATAATTTCCCCACCTCAAAGTAGGATCGAATAAAGTTATCGCAGAACAGTCAAGAGAGCCATTTGGCTTGCAAGAGTACGCGCCGAGCCATCGCCTTGGGTGCCAGGGGGCGTGCCTTTTATGTATCTGCTAATAGTTGTGCCCCTATATTATAACTTTATTAAATTAGATTAAATTATCAAATTAGTAAGTTTTAAGTTAGCATAAATAACTCCAATATAATTTAAATAAAAATTAATGAGAAGATTATTTGTATTTTAATCTCTTAAGAGTAAGTCTTATAAAAGTAGTGAAGATCTCATTTTCGTTTGTTAATTGAGAGCTTTGGCTATCAACAAAATGGTCTTAGGTTCGAGTCTTGCATATGTAATGTGTGTATGAATTTTCCTTAATTGACCTGAATGTCCCAAAAAAAAAGGTATTATAAAAGTAATTCCTCTCATACAAGTCAATAGAAACAACAATACACATTGGACAACTCCCTTTCATCTAGGTTGTACATTTCTTTCTTATATTTCCACTGGCTTCCTTCTCTCTATTTGGTCAATCTCATGAGTTTATGTAATTCATGTGTGGTTCATTAGAGATTTTATAATAATTAAGGTTTAAAATTGGGCAATTGGACATTGAGGTATTTTCTTTCCGTAAGGCTAGGCATAAAATTCAAAAAACTTTGAGGCGTTAGCCTCAAAATAAAATCATTAAATTAATAAAATTTTTGAAATAATAAGTAAAATATTAACCTCAAAGTAAAATATTAACATAAAATAAGACTACAAACAATACTAAATAAATAGTAACTTACTCAAAGTTCAACATAAATAAATAATTTAAGATCATAATTTATGAATTAAAAAATCTTCCTCACTGTCATCATTTAGTGAGTTTTCATTAGGAACAAATTATAATTAATTGATTTTTCTACTTCCTCAAACTAAAAATGCAGAAATAAATTTCTGACAGCAAGACGAGAAGCATCGATTGTGTAATAATGATGATGGCACAATAAGCATCGGTAATGCAAGAGGATAGGGTGCAAGCACGAGGGTCCTGAGACTCTGAGTTTGAGGTTGTATCATTCTTCTCAGATTTGGTTTAATTTAAGTAGGTTTAATTTACATGTAAAATTAATTTAATTTTTTAAATTAGCTAAAGTTTAATTTTAAAAAAAAATCAAAAAAATTAGCTTAGTTTGTGAGTGTGTTTAGATGCTTCATTATTTGATTGACCATGTAATTTATCCTACATGTCTCAATGATAATGGACACATTAATTAAAATATAAAAACATTCTAATAAAATAATTATTTTAATTATATTAAGAAAACTCGTTATATCATATTTTCATAATATTAAGAAATAAGTAGAACTTTATTATATAAATAGATTGAGAATTAATTGTTATATAAATCTATAGCTTTATTGGGCTGCTAAATTAGTTAGTAATTGAGTATAACCTTAGGCTTCATTTGGGACGGCTTTCTTATTGCTTCTTAAAGCAGATTTCTTATACAAAATTTAAATTTTGTACTAAAAAATTGCATTTAAAAGCAGTAAGAAAGCCATCCCAAATAAAATCTTAATTTGTCCGGTCAAAATGTTTGAAAATTTTCATTTGTTTTTTCTCTTTCATTGAAGGTCGTACGATTAGCTTCTTAAGGATCTCCTAAGAAGAAAATTATATTAATCAAATATTTTGCAGAGGGGGCAAATGTAATTAGCCTTTCAAATCCCTCTAAAAAGAAAAATCATTTGAAAAATCTCAAGACCAACAATCAAACATACCAAATCATATCCAGTAAAGCATTTCGTTAAAAGGGCAAAAAGAATTAGCTTCTCATAAATTTCCAACAGAGAAAATCTACTGACAACTTCAAGGTTAGTGACTAAACAAACTGAGTTTATCTACAGTAACTTCAAGTAGACACTATCTCCACTGGGGATGATTGAGTTAGCTTCACAAAAATCTCATGAATGGGAAAATCGATAGAAAGCTTTAAGGTCTGTGGCTAAACAATCCAAGTTTATCAATGATCGTATTTAAGAAAAGGCTATCTCCAATGGGGATAAGAAATATAGCCTTTAAAGACATACTGGAAAATTATTTCTATTACATCAAATGTTTATATCAGAAAATTATCCACAAGTACTCATAATTAGATAATCTTTTGAGAACATATTAGATTGACTCTATCCCCATAATTACTTATTTTCCTTGTATTTATTGTTTTGTGTTAATAACATTGTTTAAAATTGTGCAATATCAAACTCGCCTTGAGGCCCACCTAAATACTTTTTTATGAGGCTTACGCCTCAGCTTGGCAAAGGCCCATCTTGAGGCGCATCTTACCTTACTAGCATGAGGCATACAGCAAATTATTAGGTCCGGTCACCAGACCAATTTCTAGGTCCAAACATCCACTAAAAATTCGCCACATGGAATGTACACGTGTCCTTGGAAATTTAAGTCAAGCGCAGGTAAACCGAAGATAAAGTGCAGGTAAACGCAGTCAAAAAGCGCAATCAAAAGCACACCTAAAGCGCAGTCCACATGGTAAGTTTTCATTGGAAGTCCGGACCTATTTTTAGGTCTAGTGACCGGACCTAATAATTTGCCGAGGCATACACCTCACCCGATTTATAAATATTTTTTATTAAAACTTGCCTAAATTCTAACCTAAAATCTCAAACAAATCATGCCTTCATGCACTACCAAGCTACAGCAACTACCTCTCAACCGACTCGACCTCTAGCCCATCACCTTTGCCATAGCCACCACCGAGAATCACTTGAAAGCCGCACAACACCACCACCTCCACCAAAAAATTGGACTATTATTCTCATCTTTTTGTTGATGAAAAATATTTATGCAAGAAAAAGATAATTTGAAATGAATGAAGAAGAAATATATTGAGAGAAACTGAACTCCACAGAATGAGGCAAGTGAGAGACAAATTTGTTACAAGGACGACTCAAATAAAAACTCCATCAGTGATGATAGTGCAGATAATTTTTGAGTTGTTGTCAATTATGTCAGTTTTTTTTAGAATTGAAAGTGGATTAGCAGGGAATTAAGAAAGAAGAAATTTGAAGTTGAATTTGATGTTATAGGATACTTTTACGTGATTCCAACATTTGATATTATTTTGCTCTTATAATATTTGAATTTCAATTCTATTTCACGCAATTTATCACTTGTCACTTTACTACTTGTGCAATTTTTTATTTCATATGTATGTCAATTTATTACTTCATGGTTCAATAGAAATTTAATATGTCATTTTTTAACATATTATTCGGGTATTATATAAAAAATCACTTTTAACTTTTATTTTCACTTTAAACAATTTTTAAATTTTGAGGCTTACGCTTCAAAACGTCTTGAGACTTATGCCTCGCCTCATGAAAGAAAAATGTCTCAATACCCAATTACACATTTTTAAACATTGATTATTAACAATCATTTTATATAGAGATTGTATTATTCTTGAAATCATTGGTTGCAATCATAGTCATCACCAAAAACATGATAATTTTTTTAGGAATGTATTTCTCTAGTATTGATTAGCATTTGCTTAGACGGTTGTCGGTGCTCTTATCCTATGAAGTAAAAGGTGACAGATAATTTTTACAGTTGCATGCAAGCGACGGAGTGATTTATTTAGATAGTTGAAGCTTAAGAGAGGGGGTGTTTAACCATGGACACAGGCAAGTTAAGGTTGAACTACATAAATGTAACTGTCTCCAATATTTTTATAAATATATTTATTTTATATTGCACTTAACATGATTTGCATGCTTGTGATAATTGTTTGGTTGTATGCTCACAAGATAATATTATGAAGTTATTTATACTATGTTCTCTATATTGTTATAATCATATTTAGTATTGTATCATTATTATTATTATTATCATACAACAACAACAATATCAAACATTTGTCCCACTATGTGAGGTCGGCTACATGAATCCTTTTTCTCCATTATGTCATGTTAAAAGTCAAAATCTCATTTGAAATGTTATTATGATGATTCAAATATTGAATTTTTATATGGCATGTTTTAGAGTAACATTTATGTTGATGTCCTAAATTGATCGTTACTCATTAGCATAACAATATCAACATCTTCATCACTATTGAAAATACTATGGAAACTTATTGTAAGAGAGAGTTTATTTACTCTTAGGTTTTGAAGTCCAGTTGATCTACTACATTGGTGCTTAATTTATTTAATCACTCATACTAAGTTCATCCTTATATGCATAGTATTATCGAGTTAATATATTTGTTTTCAGTTTGTTTCATAATTTATAATGTATGTATTTAGTAGTGCATTACATACATATCTTATGGTGTCTTAAAGTAACACACTTCCCTCGCCTATTTATCAATTGTCTTTGTTCAAGCCAATGTGCGGAGTAAGTTCAAAAAATTAATAAAGATAATGATTCCAGTTCAATTTAAACAAAAGTTAGACATACGTTGTAAGCTACACTTGAGAAAAAAAGATACATTTCTATTTATAAGCAAAATTAATAAATATGCTCTGCTACAGTTGAAATGAATAAAAAATTAACGTCCCTTCCTGCGGTGTATAAAGAGTAGAGCTTGAGAGAGCTCAAGTATTAACCAATTTAGCTCGTCTAGCGAGAGATTATGTTTAGTTTATTTATATAACAAGCTAAAGAAGATCTGTTCACGAATATGAAGCGGTTTCTAACCTAGCTAGTGAGTAGTATCTGCAAGTTAAAACTTATGAAACATTAATTCAATGATCCCGAACAACAAGGAACTTTTTCAATAAGAACTTAAAAACATAGTCAATTTTAGAACATACCAGGATAGACATACCCGTCCAGAACTCATGGAAGTAAAAAGTGGTGAGGTTAGCTTGTTGTCAACAAAGTGATTTTTTCAGGCTTCATATGAAGTGATTCCTCTGCAAACCATTGTAGAAAGCATTTTGTATAGCACCGAATAGACCAAGCTGCATGTTAAGTTCAAAGACACGAAGAACTAAAAGATCAACACTGGAAACGATCAACTTTAGAAGATTCATTTCTTTCAATGCTTCATTCTTTTCAAGTCTTCAGGGGGTTGTAGATTGGTTTTATTTAGCTGTCTATTGAATTAACATCAATTTAGAACTTACCAGGATAGACATACACGCCCAGCAGTTTCCTTAAAGCCGTTGTGTGGGGATTCCCAAATTTTGCTAAGAGATTAACCAGCTTGTTCTTCTCTCTTGGGATATGCTCCACCTGAGAATTCTCAATCAAAAATTTTCATATTTTATCTTCAGCAAGTAATGTGCTTGGATTTGCTCACTCACATCAAAGTTCCTAAAGAGATCCCTATACATCTAAAGCAAGAATATAAGCAGAGGACTTTCCATTTCAATGAAACTAAATTATGCATATCTATTTACTGTACAACAGGCTATATTTATAGAACTATAGAGTTACAAATGTGATGATATAATAGGTGGAGTTTGTTGGGTAATGCATTATGTCCTCTTAGCCGTGCTAGTTGAGATAGCTGCCTTTCTTGAACTTGATTGCTGAGCTGTTATTATTCCCCTGCAAACTGACGATGGTGATTGAATCGTTAGTTTGGATTGTAGCAATTTAAATATTGAAGTAGGGTGAGATTTGGTTAGAATATTTGCAATTTGATCAGTCGTGCTGATTGAAACGATGGTAATTTCACCAGATTGAATATGATCTCTTATAAAATGGCAATCTACTTCGATGTGCTTCGTGTGAGCATGAAAAATCGGATTGTGGGCGAGAGCAATGGCCGGTGTGTTGTCGTAATGGATGACTGTTGGCTCGGTAGAGGAGATATGAAAGTCTAAGAGAAGGCGTTGAAGCCAAATTACGTCTGATGCCGTGGCCAATGATTTGTATTCTGCTTCTATGGAGGACCACGCAATAGTTTTTTTGCTTCTTCACTGTCCAGGAGATGAGGGTGTTACTGAGGTATATACAATATCCGGAGGTGGAGTGGCGGGTAGCAGGATCAATGGCCCATTCGGCATCGGCAAAGTTAGTTGGAGATTTGATTTGAAGATGGGAAGACCAAAGTCATTAGTTCATTGAAGCTATCTGAGGAAGCATTTTAATAGAAGAAAATGTTGGGAAAGAGTATAATGCATATGCTGACAAAGTGAATTGACGGCGAAGGCAATATCGGACGAGTTATAGTAGCATCAAGGTTTAAAATTGCATAAATAAGCCTTAAGGCATTTTTCATCTGTGAGGCGAGGTGTAAGCCTCAAGGCGCTGTGAAGGCATAAGCCTCACAAATGAAAAATTACGTAAATGAGAATTTAAGTATTTTAGCAGGTAATTAACAGTTAGAGTCTATTATACAATAAAAACATATAAATGAGAAGTGAAATTAGTTAAAATGGATAAAATAGATGCAATACATGCATCTCATAGTATAATTCAAAATACAAAACCACAAATATTAGTCTATCAAAATTCTCAAAGTACAAATAAGAAAGAACATCTAAAATCCAATCATATCCCATCACTAAATGGGTCTTCAAGGGAAGCATCTTCATCTCCAATTATATTTATGAATGTCAAATCTTCATCATCTTCAATGTTACTCATTTTTCTCTTCCTTGTTCAATAAAAATAATTAGTATCATGTTAATTGCATATATTTAAAATGTAATTGCACATAAAAAATTATGAGATACCTTTATTTGTTTATTATGCTGTAGAACTAATGAATGTGTGTGATGTTGTACTAGTGGATATGCTCGTTTGATCTACTTCGCCTCTCAAGACATCCACACATAGATCCTCTAACTACGGGTCTGATAATGACAAATTTGTCTCATCAATTATGAATCACTAATTATCAGACATCATATCATCACAAACCAAAGGGTTCTCATCACCCTTCAACCCCATGTTTCTCAACTTGTTATCTCTCAACCTCTTGTTGGGCATAATACACACAAGGGTGTTCATTCTGAGTTTTGAAAGTCGATTTCTTCTCTTCGTTTGTACTTGATTATATGTGCTTCAGTTTCGCTCACACCTAGAGAAAGAACAAGTGAACCCCAAAATTTTAACTGCAAAACTCTATAACTCGGGGATGGAATCACCAAATTGGATCCACCATTCAACTATTTTCAAAAAGACAAATAATAATCAGAACATATTAAAGTGTTATGCATGTATTAATACATATACTATTTCATTGCCCTTAACCATGTTTCCTAAAGCGCAAATACAAAATGAAACAAAAAATCTCAAAAAATTTAAAACCCTAGATTTTCTATGAGTTGAAAAATCACACCTTTAATTAAAAAAAAAAAACCTAAAATAGGTTGAAAAAGTATCGTAGAGGGAGGTCGGACACAAGAGGCTCACCAACGTGAGGCGGCGCTGGCAGGAGAGGCGGAGGAAAGGTCGGGATCGTGCGGAGTCTGTGGAGTCTACGAACTTCTTGCGGGAGGTCTTCGTTCGATTCGGGTAAGCTGGTATAAGGAAGAAGAAAGGGGGTTTTTATTATAAACTTAAGTGAGTGTGACCGGTTTCATGAGGCGTACGCCTCACCACAAATTGCGCAATAGCACAATTGAGGCGTGCCTCAAGCTCCGTGAGGCGTAAGCCTCATCAAGCCCCAAATTTGCTTAAGCAATGAGGCTATTGAGGTTCAAATAACGCAGAGGCGCACCTCTGATTGCGCAATTTTAAACTATGAGTGGCAAATTGCAACAAGCCATTAAGCTGGAGGTAGATGGCTGGATCAGATGAGAGAATGTTCATGGGAATTACGGTGGGGAGTTTGGTGTATGATGAATTAGAGATATGATTGCATGATTAGTATAAGGATCCTTTATATGAAAATCAGAGGTGTCAAAAAGGATTGAAAGATTATTATCTTTGGTTAGCGATGAAACGGATAAGAGATTGTGAGCTAGATTAGGGAGATGAAGTAAGTTCAAAAGAGAGATCTTATGAGTTGGAGTAGGTAGAAGGCCTTGGCCTGAGTGAGCGATAGGAATAGTTAGGTCATCTCCAATTGAGACACCATCCTAGCCATTGTATTCCGATGGCTGAAGAATGTAGTCAAGATTGTTAATAGGATCCGAGGACGCGTCGGAGTCGATGATTAAGTCGGTGGTGGGGTTCGAGTTGGAGGCCAGAAGAGCAGTTGAGGGTGTTGTGTAATTGGCATTGAATCTATGCCAACAGTTGTTGGCTTTGTGACCCTTTTTCCACATATCTGACAGTTGATTATATCGGTGGACAGTGTAGGGGTTGATGATGACCTAAATTGGCTCCTGAAGTTGGAGTGTCTGTGGTAAGATGAAAAGCTAGACCTTCCGTGTCCACGACCATAACCATGATTGGTGTAGAGAGCGGTTTGTATGTTGAAATTTGATGAGTCTTTGGCAAGATCGTTGGATAAGTTGATCTCTTCACTTAAAACTAGATAGTATAGATCTTCAAGAGCAAGGGGTGTAAGTTTTATTCTAATAGAGATCTTGAAAGCTTGATATTGAGGAGGAAGACCGTTGAGGGTGTAAAGCAGGACATCTTCACTCGATGGAGCAGCCGATTGCAGCTATCTTGTCATCGAGGGATTTGATATTGTTGAGGTTTTGAAGTATTGTTTGTTGTCCCATGGAGATGTGATGTAGCTCGTTCTCGAGTTGTATCACATGTGACCGATTCGTTGTTTGAAGTCTTCTTTCAAGCGTACTCCAAATGTCTGCGTAGTTATCAAGAATCAGAACAAATGGGAGAATGCCGGTAGTGATGGTAGAACATATGGCTGATGCAAGATTTTGATCTAGTAACATCCAACAGTTGTAAGTTGCATTTGGTTTGGAAATGCCGGTCGCGCCAAGAATGAACCAGGGAGGAACAGGAGCAATTTTGTTAAGAAATCCAGCATAGTTGTTCGCCCTAAACAACTTGACGATTTGAGATCTCCAGGTGGAGTAGCTGTCATTAGAAAGCTATAGGGGAGTAATGGCTTTAATGTTGGAAATGAGAAACTTAAGGGAGGAGGGAATGACAACATCTTCTTGGGAGAGTTCCATGGTAGTGTCAACGGTGTGACAGAAGGAAGAGCTTGTCATTTTACGGTAAGGAGAAATAGAGAGAAAAAATGGGGAGATGCAAAAAAAGGGAGAGAGAACGTCCTTACCGGGCTGTGAGCCAATATGGCTCTGATACCATAAAGCTCTCCCTATACATCTAAAGCAAGAAGATAAGCAGAGAAGGACTTTCCATTTCAATGAAATCAAATTCTGCATATCTGTTTACTGTACAACAGGCTATATTTATAGAGGTATAGAGTTACACATGTGATGATATAATAGGTGGAGTTTCTTGGGTAATGCATTCTGTCCTTTTAGTCATACTAGTTGAGATAGCTGCCTTTCTTGAAATTGATTGCTGATCTGTTATTAGTTCCTTAGTATCTAGCTCAATGACATTCGTGAATTGATGTAAAACTTCAGCTTCCTGATGCCAAAACTCAAGGAAAATCTCAGGACAACCAGCATATCCTTGTATTTAGCATAATCTTTGGTATCTTCATATTGGATTTTCAAAGGTTACTTCAACACAGTGCACCATTGGTATGGAACTGGGAGAAATTCTGCTTGGCATGTACTTTAGTGTTAGCTTCAAGGCTTTGTGTGAAGTCTGCGAAGAAGTCTAATAAAGTCTGAGCTTTTATCATAATCCTGTGCCTATACTAGATATAAACTCCCTGAGTTCTACTGACTTCTTCTTTGTTTTTAGGATGACATCTTCTAAGGGTCGGTAACCAATTGCAACATATTTACTAGGAAGGATTTTCATAGCCTTCCACATTATTGATCATAACCAGGGTAGCTTCTGCGTGATGTAGCAGAGTGTTGCTTGTTGGCCTTCCCTCTTAATAGAACCAAAAAGACGGCCTTCTCCTCATCTCTAAGGTTCAACTTCAGCATCAATTCCGGTTTTTGACTAATCAGCAAAACAGGAACATCAAGTATTTCTTCAGCTGCACAAAAACTTAGTTGCACTTTTCTGACCACAATTTTTTTTTTCATTCAATGTGCTTTGAAGCACCGGACAAACAGCTCGGCTGGCAAGTTCCCAACTTCTAAACTTCCTTAACAAACCAGGTAAAGACATAACTAAGACAGCATTGATTGGATTTTATACTTTTTTTTAAAACACCATAAAGAACTTCCAATTTACACAACACTACACCCTGGCTTTTGAACAAAGCCCTGCCAGTTCCAGTCCTCCCTAAGATTGTCTACGGCTTCCCAGTTTCCTGAAGACGCATAGAAATTAGACAAGATAACAAAAGTTCCTGAAATTTGATGTTTTCTATTTATCATCTCCTTAGCCACCTTCCTCCCCATCTCCATATTCCCATATATCATACATCCCCCAAGCAATGCACCCCATATAGTAGCATCGTTATCACTGCCAACTCTACATTTTTTATCGGATTTCGTTTCCAATGCATTTCTACCCTCTAAAACTCTTTGAGCTTCCACAAGCTTTCCTGCCCGTCCTAACATATCAACCAGACAAGCAAAATGATCAGCTCTGGGAGCAATACCATACTTCTCCTTCACTAAGTTAAAATATTGAATCCCTTGCTCAATCAAACCACAATGATTACAAGCACTCAGGACAGACACAAATGTCACCTCATTTGGAACAAAATCATTTCTTATCATATTTTCAAAAACTTAAATGGCTTCTGAAGCAAACCCATGTGTAGCATAAGCAGTAATCATTGATGTCCAAGATAAAGCATTCATCATCTGCATTTTATTGAAGATTCTTCGTGCATAAACTAGGTTACCTGATCTAGAATACATGTCAACTAATGCTGTTTCCACAATCAAATTACTGCTTAAATCTCCACTCAGAGTTCTTAGCACCTGAACATGTATCTGTTTACCTGCATCCAAAGCTGCAAGGCTGCTACAGGCATCAAGAGCAGTTGCAAAGGTGAAGGAGTTTCCTCTAACCAAGCCTTCTCCATTATAAAATTTGGCCAACAACTCTAATCCTTTTCTTGGTGATCCATTCTGCACATATCCAGAAATCATGGATGTCCTTGAGATCACTTTCTTAATAGGCATTTTATCAAACAAGCCACATGCATCTTGAAGCCAGCCATTAGAGATGCACCCCGACATCAATGCATTCCAATGAGACATATCTCTCTCCTTCAAATTATGGAAAACCATCCAAGCTTCACTGATGCTAGAGCGCCTCGAGTACATGCCAATTAAAGCGCTAACAATGAAGGTGTCATCATTCTCCATTGAACACAAACTTCTATAATAACCAAGTGTGAGGATAACTCCATGGACCTTTTTCCCCATCTGGAGAAACCCAAGATTTGCAGCAGCACTTAAAACAGAAACAGCAATGCTATGATCCTCAATGAAAAGCTCCACAAAACCATCACTTTGACTAATGCTCCTCACCGCATCAGCATATTTTTCATTAAAGACATAACCTTTAATCATCAAAAGCTTAGATTGCAAACAAAGTTCTCTCCCTTCCAATGCCCTCTCAGCAGAGCCAACTTCACTGCACTTGAAGTACATCTTAGCCGTGGCATTTGCAACAGTTGGATCTATTTCAAACCCTGCAGCCACAGAGAAGCCATGAATTTGCATTCCCGATCTCAGGTCATTGAGTGCAGCACAAGCAGTCAAGCCACTGGCAACAGCAAACTCATCAGCCCCTAAATCACATTTAACACTGTAGAAAAACTCAAGAGCGGGAATGGCCTTGCCACCAGTTGCATAAGCGGCTAGCATAACGTTCCAGGTAATGACATTTCTTTCGGGCATCTCCTCGAACACCTTCTATGCAAAACCCAATGAGTTGCATTTAGAATACATGTCGACGAGGGAGGTGGAGACAACAACGTTGGGTATGATTTGACGACGGATTATCTGCTCGTGGAGGGAGCGAGCAAGGAATGGGTCGCCGACGGCGGCAGCGGAGCGGGCGGCGGATGCAAATGCAAAGGAAAGAGTTGAGAGAGCGTATGGGAGGCGGAGGAGATCGGAGAGAAGGTGGATGGCGGCAATGGGAATGTTTGAGCGGGCATATGCGGAGGTCATGGCTGCCCATAGGAATGTGTCGTGGGAGGAAGAAGGAATCTGATCGAAGAGCTGTCGAGCGTCTGTTAGCGAAGAAGGGGATGTTTGGCAAGCGTACGCTTGAAGGAGGCGGGTGGCGACCACCGGATTCCAATCCAGACCTTGCTTTAGGAGCCGTGAGTGCGCCTTCATCCATCCGCAGTTTCTCACCTGAATACGAAGAGAATCTCTGGCTTTTTACTACTCCAATAAGGCGGCCAGACACAACTCTCCTTGGCCTATTGGTTGAGAGCTTAGGCTTCCAACTAAGAGGTCCAGGGTTCGAGTCTATGTGTATGCGTTGTGTGTGTGAGTTTGCCTTAAATAACCTAAATGTCCCAAAAAAAAACAAGGTGGCCAGCTTTATTCTAACTAATAGAGTCAGATGCTAGATTTTTTTAGGCCCTTATACGCAGCTCTTCTTCTTATATTATTAGTTATCAATTAAAAAGTTTTTTATTTAAGTTTACTATATGTGATGTCCGTAAGAAAATCGTATTAATTGATCTAAAATATTCTTAAAAAATTATATATTTATCTAATTTAAGCTTGTTATATCAATGATCGGACACGAATCTCGAGGCAAAAATCAAGTTAGAAAATTTAAAAATTAAATTTGGGATCATCTGAACTCCGGTTTCAACAAACTTACAGTCGAACTGAGTGTCTCGGAAATTCAAACCCAACGAAACCAAATTCAACTCAATCTGATCCCAAATGGGTCCGAATCGAAGACCCAAAGCGATGTTGGAAGGTTCAAACCACAATTTAGATTACCAAACAATTTCCAGACATGCTTATAATCATATCGAGCGGCCCGACGAGACAAATCTAACGAGCCCAAGATCGTCAAATTTTGATATCATTAAGACATTCAAATGTCTGATGAACAGTCCACGATCAAGGGATTCAATATCGGTTGTCCATCCAAATCACTCCACATTTGCCCTTGATCATCCTATTTACGGGTCATGTCACTCTCAAAAATTTATAAATAGTCCCTCATTTCTCTTGAGAGGGAAGCAAGAAGGAAGAAGAGGAGAAGAGAAGAAGATAAGGAGGGAAGAAACTCCTCCTCGACCACCGCCGGAGTTTCACCCAACTTTCAAGTGACACCGGAGTTCTGCCCGACTTTCAAGAGACGCCGGAGTTCCACCCGACTTTCAAGTGATGCCGGAGTTCCGTCAGACTTTCAAAGGACGTCAGAATTCTACCCTACTTTCAGGTGACGTCAAAGTTCCATCCAACTTTCAAGTGACGCTGAAACTCCACCTAATCTCCAAGTGACAATGGAATTTTGCTCGAATACCATCTAACGCCAGAGTTCTCCTTGGACATCAACTAACGTCGGACTTATAACCGACGTCGGACCTTCACTCATCGCCAGATTTCTACCCGACGCCGAACTTCTTCCCTTTATCGGACTTTCGTCGGACATCTATCTGATGTTGGATTTCCATCCATTATTGGACTTCTACCAGACATCGTCCTTCTGACCTCCGTTGTTAGACAATGATCCTTCCGACCTTCGTCGCCCGACAACTACGGTCCTTCTAACCAAACAAACATGCTAATAGTGAGTCTTTGTATTCCCACCATGTACTTTATATAATATACATCAAGCCAAGGCCTTCCCCCAAAGGAAGGGCCTCATTTGTAATCGACTGCAAAAAATAGTGGATTCATTCAAACTGGGCTAAGCCCCATGGTTTTTACCCCTTTTTAGGAGTTTTCTATGTAAAAATATTGGTGTCTCATAAATGTTATGCTATCTTTTTCATCTGATTGTATGCCATATTTTCGTATAATGTTAAGGCGTTAAATTTTATATTTCTCTACCACCGCGACTACTCCAGGACGAAACAGTTTGGCGCCGTCTGTGGGAAATGACTCCCAACTGGGGGGCAAATTTTGTTATAACCTCAAAAGGTCATTAACGTCAACTTCCAGACATCAACCCTTGCTGCATCAATTTCATAAGAATCAGATGCAAACTAGGGAACAAATTTGACTCCAACTGTTGTCAAAACAATCTTTCAACATCTAGATGATATTTCAGGAAAATTCTAGCAAATGCAAGGATACTTACAATCAATTATAAGCTTTATACAGTCCCTTGATAGACTTCTACTCCTTGGACATGGTCTTAATGTTGACCTCAAAAAGGCAGTAACAGTCTAAACATAGACCATTTTCCACTTTTGATTCAGGATATACATGGCATTTACCCCCCTCCCAATCAAGGCAAAATTAATCCCAGGGAGATTTGATTTGACCTCTTCCACACAGGTTAACGTCATCAAGCAGGGCTTTGACATACAACCTCAGATAGGTCAGACATCCTTGGTGGATTATTTTGACCTCCTCCATATAAGTTAACGTTATCAAGCAAAGGCTATGACATACAACCTCAAATAGGTCATACATCCTTAGTGAATTCTTTTGATCTCTTTCATATAAGTTAATGTCATCAAATAGTGCTCTGACATACAACCTCGAATAGGTCTTACATCCTTGGTGGATTCTCTCGACCTCTTCCATACAGGTTAATATCATCGAGTAGTGATCTTACAAACAACCTTGGAGAGGTCTTACATCCTTATTGGATTCACTCGACCCCTTCTATATAGGTTAACATCATCGAGTAGTGTTATGACATACAAACTCTGATAGATAATAGATCCTTGGCAATTTTTTCGACCTCTTCCATATAGATTAACATCATCGAGTAGTTGTTGACCTTATTTTTGTATAAGGTCACTAAGGCCCATCCAAACTCCAGATTAATTCTAGATCCTAGGATCCACTCTAGACCTTAGGATCCTTTCTTAGAGCCAGACCTTAGGGCCTACTCTAGAGCCTAGGATTCCCTTAGATCCTAGATCTTAAAACCCCTTTAGATCTTAGGACCAATCTAGACTCAAATCAATCCCCACCCTTGATCAACCTCAACCTCAAATCAATTCCTACCTTTGATCAACTCCAACTTCAATTTGATTCCTACCTTTGATCAATTTAAATCTCAAACTTCATTCAACTCAAATCACAATTAATTCAAATTTCAAACATAAAAAATAAAATTACAGACTGACTCAACCCTAAACCTACGCAATCCTGAACTTGGCTCCTTCTTGATCGTCCGATCTCCGATTCCTGAAAAGTTAGAAGCAACAAGTAGTCCAAGAGACATAGTGTTTATCAATCATCAAAACATAAGTCATGAAAAATAGATTTGCAACAATCCAAACACAGCATCTAGCATATTCCCTCTTCCCCCAATTAAGATAATTCCCATCCAGCAACGAAGGAACTCCAATCATCAATGCAATCATAGAAATGTTTTCCTCATCCCAGCAGCTTAACGGCAGACCAGGGAATCTAATCCAAACCGGGGAGGAGATACCCTTTATAGATTCTATTGAGAACGATGAAGTCCATCTACCCATTCCAATGATATGATTTCCAATATACAAAGGTCCTCCATTTAAAATTTCCTCAATGGATTCAATGTTTGTAAATGAACAAAGAATACAATTATTTACCAATGAAGTAAGGTGAAAGATGCCAACCTTATTCCACTGTCTTCTAAGTTCCTGGCTACAGACAGAGAACAGAATATTCTATCCTAGCACTTTAATAACCAGAGATTTCTTTAAAATTTGGGCATTGGCCAATTCTTTTGCCAGATTGAGTTGCACAGCCATCCCATCTTCCGACATTTTAGTGGAAATTGAATTATAGTTCAACTTAAAATGTTGTGTCTTTTGCCATGCCGACACAAAGCTATTCGAAGGATCAGCTTTAGCTTTCTGATCGTTAATCGAAATTGAAATTCCATCTTCTTTCTCAAAAGAAATCGCAAGGTTTTTATTCAACTCCTCCATACTATCAGAATCTTGTCTTCCTGTAACTTTATTGTCCTTCAGCACAATATTTGAAATATACGATGAATCGATGCCCTAATTTGCAGCAGAATCAAGAATTTTTCCATTCTCCTTCAACATATCAATTCGATCTTCAAGAACTCCTTTACCTTTACCTTCCGTTACAGGATCTAACTTCAGCGATGGTCAGAATCCTTCATTGATAACCAGACTAGAAGACTTCCTTATTAAAACAAAATCCTCATTTCGACCCTTGCTGAGAATTTGATCTGACCGGAACGCGGGGGCTCAGACGGAAGATTACGGCCGGCAATCCGCTGTCGGCGGTCAGGAACCACCATCGATTCCACCGGAATCCGCAAAACAGAAAGCCCACGAAAGAAAAAATTTAAACAAGAAAGGTTTTCTCTCTCTAGATTTTCCCCACCAAAAAGTTTTTGACTCACACTTTGCTCATAGGCAATGAGTGAACCAAATAGATTATCAAAAGAATAACATTCAATTCTTTTCATTCATATATAGCAGTGACTTTTCCATCAAATGTATTAAGTAGATAATGCATAATTTTATTGACCTTCTCTGAATTTTAACATTCTCTACCTAAAAGATGTAAAGATGTCACTATCTAAGTAAATCTAGTATACATGTCTGAGATAGTCTCATAGAGTTTCAATCAAAAAAGTTTGTAATCATTCCATAATACATTTAACATATATTGTTTGACTTCACTAGTACCTTCGTATGTAATGTATAGTTTATCCCAGATATACTTGCTAATGTTATAAGTAGAAACTCTCATATAATCTTCAAACTTAAAAGCAC